CCAGGCCACCTCACGTTTCAGCTGGTACGATATTCGAGATATCGCGATGCATTTTATAGACGTGTAGACTTAAAACACCATAAACGAAAGATTCAGCCGGGTTCCAGGCGAGTCTGCCATCAAAACCGAATTGGTATACAAATGAGTGTATTTCGCTAATTCCGTGTATTTTGGATTCAAGCAAATCATAGGTTTGACGGAAACCCGCCTGATGAGCCCCAAGTGGGCAAAACTGACCATGGGCTGTGGAATTTTTCAGCAACCTAATGAGTAGCGCATTGTGTCGGAACTGTTTACGTTGTATCGTCCTCCCCCTTTTAATCTGGATGATATGTGTTCGTACAAGAGCTTCGACAGTTCCCTCCGCGGGAACAGGCAAATTTATAAACAAGCATTAAATTGAACCAACAAAGGAGTTTTTCCTTTGACTCTTGCTTGGTGGTGGGATGTGGTTGGTTGGTTTTGGTGAGCAGAAGTAATGGGTTGGTGGGATGGAGAAGCGCGCGATTTCTTCAGGCAATACTGATTGGTCAGCTCTGCTTGGCCCGTCATTTGGCAATTGCATTTTAATGCCTCATTCTAATGGAGGATATACCATTCCTTTTGAACGTTTTTGTCTCTCGGCACTGGTGAAACTCGCCCTTTTCTTTGAGCATCACAGTATCTCACATCTTGGCTTTGGCTCTTTTCAAGCGAATGAGTCGTAAAGCCACTTGGCTGTTAACTTAGACCAGTGCATGTAGATTTACTGGTTGCCCAGCGTGAAAATTCAACGCTATCCAATATAACAGTCTCTCCTTTTTTGTTGCGTTTAGTTTAATTGTTTGTGATACTTTATTTTTATTCTGGACATCCTCAGGGGGGTTTAAACAGACACATCTTCCTGTCAAGTCAAACAGAAAGATCATCTGTCTCGATTTTAGGGAGTTCTTGTACACAAGGACCATGCTACCCCAGAAATTTCGAGTTGACCCTGTTTTTCGCCTCTGACTGACTACTGTTCTCCAGTGCTTTCGGGTATTTATCCAGACAAATTTGTTATTGTGAATCGTATTTGACAAACTTTGGAATACCGGCTGGTCTTTATGAACTGATTCCAACTTTCTTTTGTACTCATCTCGTTGTAAAATCACTCCGCCGGATGTCGAGAATATTTCCTAGCTACGGGAGCTTTTCAGTTTGGTTGATCGATAAGGATAGTGACCTTCAACCAGGTTGGACGTACGCCTCCTAGGTCATTCATCAAAACCGACCTTCAGATAACCGTTTACGAGGAAAAACATTCAATCATAGTTTCAACAGCCCGTCGGTTGTTGCTCGAATATGCGTCACTTAGTGCCACCCGTAGCTTATCTATCCTGTCATTTTATGAACCTGTCTGAATAGAATTTGGATTCTGGTTGTCGCACGTCCAGTGTATTCCGTAGTAGTTTCAGCTCCTTTTGTTTGCTCCCGGATTTTCGAAGGACATCAGTTGTCTTCAAAGGCGCGGTGCAATGCAGTGGAGTGCAGTGAAAACCACTGTTATTCAATATTAGGCTCAAAACTGGGTCAAATACAAACATCTTCATTCGTTGTTCGTTTCCATCAGAGCCCCTGAAGTTGTTGTCGTGATCAACAACTTTGTTTTGTTTACACTCGCCTCCGATGTAAGCTGGTCTCTGGTTATGTGCTTTCTGGTGTGAGGATTTCACTTCAAACCTTTTCTCGCGCGAGGGAAACTTTCTAAACGCACGATGCCCAGGACATCTAATCGCCATTTAGTCGGGCAAGGAGTGAACAACATTGAGTTAACACTAGTTGCTGTTGTTTTGGTGTGATTATACCGAATAGACAAAACAGGGGGGTGCTGACCTCAATTTTCTCTCTCATTAGGCCTCACTAACGTCTAGCGATGTACTTGAACCGCAGCCATGCTGGCTCAGTTGCTTCGACCAGAATAAACTCACCAATAGGGTGGAAGGATCTCCAACGCACACCTGATTTGTATCAGTTACTGATTTTGATGGTGTATGATGGAACGAGTCATACAGTTGTCGCATGGATCATTTGTAAGAACAGAGGAATGTAAGAACTGGAATGCTCCACTAATCGGAATGGTTATGGAAAGCATTTTCACTGTACTCTGAAGTCAGTATAGTACAACGCAGCAAGACATATTATATTATAGTGCAAACTGTGGTACAGTTTGGTGCAGAATTTTGCGGTGGGATACGGTGCAAGTTAGCTTTTATATGTAATGGCAGAACCTCTATCAAGATCATTTATTGGCCATCGATATTCGCCGCCGAAATTTGTAGACTTCCCCATGGTAGTCAACTTTGAGGTGACCATCAACTACGAACTGTTTCGTGAGTTTCTCGCCAGTTTTTATATCGGGTTCTCAGAACTCCTAGACAGTCGTGCTGCTTGCTGAGAGAGCTTCAGACGTTATTCATGCATAAAAAACAACAAAGTTCAAAGCTTGCGACAGGATCAGTTATTGATCACCGAATACTAGCTCTCCAGTAAATATCCAAACATTTTGCTCTTACGTTCCACCATGAATCCACTTACCTCTTCGGGTCGGTTGCGGCATCCAAGCGTTTGCTTTGGCTACAAACGGGCCCTTTCGTCATGGTCTATGAGTTTTCATGTGGATTCATGCCAGAATCAATATCAAAGATTCGGTAGAGAAACAGTGTTTTCGTAACTCACCTCATATAGAATGAGATAGTTCCGTTCTGAACTACAGTATTCTCTTCCAGGCCTTCATGGAAGAATGTATCGTTAATGATGAAGGTCGAGCTGTAGGCACCGATCGTGATTTCCTCGTTTGTTTTGTTTTGTTTTAACAAAGTGGAGCCAATGGCCATGGATGTGGGATACTAAACCCTAGAAGATCATCTTTTCTCTATGTATGGCACCAAGCTAGGCCCAAACCCTAGAAGACCATCCGTTATTTTCTCTATGTATGGCACCAAGCTAGGCCAAGCCATCTGGACTGTGTGTACAGTACACTGAGTATCGCTTTCTTCCATCCACGGTAGTGTGACCAACCGCTTATTGGATCTTGTGCTTTTTAAGTAACCTGGCTATCTAACGAGGTTCCCGCATGTCCATGAATTTTGAACGTGATGAGGCATTTACCACGTGTGCCAAAACCCCAAGTGCAAATCGAGAGAGATGTCTTTTGTCCGGGACACTTGTTAGCCTTCAGCAGAGTTCACTCCATGGCGCTGTACAGAGTTTGCAGCTATCTCTGGTTTTATCGGCGACCTACGTTGATAGATTGACTATGAAGGTTTAAACTAACTTGTGGTTAATCAAATGCGTCACATTACATCCACTGGTTGACTAGCGTGTGCATGAACCAACGAGTCTGGTAAGAGAAAAATTGTCCATTGTCGAGGCCCAGGTTGAAATCTTTGCGATGAACGCAGTTTGGGGAAAGGGGGAATTCGCAGCTGCGGACGACCCGGTTATGAGGTTGCGTTTCGCGCAGATGCGAATACAAGCCGAGTAAAACCATACTGGGCACAACAGCGCGATCTGCACATGACTTATTTGAAGATGACAATGTTGTGGTGAGGACTGTGAATTTAGGCCGGGACTTGATGACAAAAACCCGCCAGTATTATTCCTAACAAAGTATGTTGAGAAGCTAGCCTTCGGTGATGGAGAACAAGATCCTCGATTGCTCTAAAATGCTCCGATCATTGTACTCATTTTGAGCTAACCTTATTGGTTTTTTCTCACTTTGTCACACTTTGCTGCGTGCGAAAGCCAAATCAATCGTAGATTCAGTGAATAGCTACCCCGAATGATGTATGTTGGAAGTGTATACGTTTGAGGTGAAGGCTATGATAATAAAGTCGAGTTGAACGAGTGCTACTGACAAAACTTTGCACGCCACACTGCCGTAAATCATCCTCAAAAAGCAGACCGCTGGTTTTTAAACTCAAGCCCGGGTAGCCAGCATGGAAAGTATCAACGTCTAGCGCATGCCGATATATTAATACATTCCATTTTAAGTATACTATTGAACGTTTGAAACCTTCACTTGTGGTTGAACGGAAAATTTGATGCTAACTTGACGACAGTGGTCGAGTTGTTCGCTGAAGACAGTTGTTATTCATAGATAATTTCAGAGCAGACCAGTCCCGTTCAGCACTAATCTATGATAGCCCAAAAGACGTTCATCCATCCAGAAGGAGGGCTTTTGTACTTCTAACTGGTTCGGTTGCCTTCGAATGAACCTCGACCATAGATTCCAAACCAGTATGGAGCAGGATCCATAGTGCGGTGACAACTGATGGGATTTCGCCCACCCCCCAGTCGGATGTATCACGGGTTGGGGACTGTTCGGCCAAGACGACAAACAGGGAGAGTTTGGCTACATAAGCAACAGACCTTACTCACATGCGTGTCCGTTATTTCTGTCCTCACGATCCTCGTAACCAATGATCTCAATGTAACGAAATAACCTCCCGATTCTGACATCAGCCACTTTCCAGCTTTACCTCTGATAGTGAAAAAATCGTTCGGCCGTAGCACCCTTTCGAGGCCTAATTGCCATGCCAGCAGAAAGAAGCACGAGGGCTGCGATACTGCCAGGTTGCCCAAGCCTAGACAGAAGAGGTTGGGTTCGAACCACGGACCTTCCGGTCAATAAACTAGCGCTCTAACCACTGAGCCGTCTCGCCCCTACCTCTGGAATAATAATTGGAACTAGCCGCGAAGATGGAACGAACGTTAGGTGCAGCAGATTGGATATATCCATCCAACAGTTAGCTTTTGAGTCTAACAGTTATATTTCTTCAGATAGCTTGTCAAGCGGAATGTGGCTTTCTGCTAGTGCCACTACTGAACTCCTGAACATCTTTAGTAAGGGATACGACCTTTACAATGAACAAGCTTAATTTTACTCAACTTTTTATAACGACCGACTTATGATTCAATTTTTATTTCTGTGTATATTCACTCCCAGATTGAGTGCACGGCTTTCTGTTGATCTCTAGGGTAAACTGGAAGAAAGACTACCGCTTTTGAGCTTTATTCTACCAAAACGTTTTTTGACCGATTGGCCAGACGCCTTCGCCCAACTTCGTGCAAACCGGGATCGATTGGTCACACTGTTTGACGTTCATGCGACTCTGAAGCACCTATTAATCCGACAATATGGAGACCACCTTGATTCTGCGGTCAAATCTCCGCGTGGAACATCTTTATTCACTCCGATTCGAGAGAATCGAACTTGTGCTCAGGCATCTATTGCCCCGCATTGGTGTGTTTGTCTTCAGTGGTCCGATATCCGCGTCAGTTCGTTCCTGAGCGATTGGCCGCCCGTGGTCTATACAGCGGCACAACACATCCTGAGCTATGTGAATCAAATCGTACAAAGGATCAACTCTCATCGAGGAATGAGTGGCAACGTACAAAAGTGCCAGAAGATGGCACTGTCGAAAGTAAGTTCTCATTTTTGGGTTGCAGAAAAAGTCTGATCGGAATGTTACGTCGCACACTGCCAATGAATGACTTCTGGGGCGGATGGATCGATAGCGCACACAATCAACTGTCGTACGGTGCTGATAATCTCATTCCTTCCACCAAACTCTCATAGTTATCTTGTTTGTTAAGTTTGTCTTATGGGTTATTAAGGATGATCCGACGACATGGTTATGTATGACAGAACTACTGAGGTTTTCTCGTGTAAATAGAGACAACGCATGCTGAAAAGCCGAGAAGTGCTATGTAACCGTTTCATCTTTACTGGTAATTATTGGCAGTACACACCTCACGAAACTTCAGGGAGTTTTGTACACCTAAGCGCTCGGCCACGGGTGGCTGATCAGCGGTGTGGTTAACTTACATTGAAGTTTCGTGGAATGCGCACTGCATCTTAATTCCATCAAAGACAGAACAACTGTACAGTGCTTCTCGGCTTTTAGAATAGATGGGTCAAATCCCCCCACACTACCATCACAACTAATGTTCCTACGAGGGTTTCATGGTAGCCGTTAGTAAAGACTGCTCTACCACACTGCCTTTAATTACGCTGCTGAATGTACGCCTGTCGGACAAATGACACCTCTTCGCCCAACGCGCTACTACGCACAGGTTAAATGAAAACTTTTCGACAGCCCACTAACCCTTGGACCCAGTCCCTAAATTTTTACGATCAACTTTATTTAGATTGGACAGACAAGAAATAGCACACTTATTGGCTAAACGGCATGATGCTAACGTATTGTTCAAATGAATCTCACCATGAGGATGTTTTTTAACCGAGTTTGTAACACGCAGAACGCTTCATGGTTAAGTGTGACTGATACTCAAGATATCGAAGTATTTCTGTTGCTCGATATTACTTGCAAGTCGGCAGCTCACGTAAGCGTCGTACACAAGGTTTGATTGATTTTATTCCATCGAGACACACTGAGACAAACTGGACATAGTCGGAGCTAAAAACTCGTTTACATGGGATTAACGTTGGATACAAATGAATCTCTTGTTATTGTCATCCCATTTTGCGAATGTGTGTTCAATTTCACAAAGTTAGTATCGTCTATGGAGTAAAGAGGAGAACTTTTTGGGGCGTTATCAAGACGTTGACAGCCTGGGTCATGCACTACTGCCGAATTTCTATTTTATGTTACCATGAGGAAGCTACCGAGACCGATTTCAGGCAGCCGAAATTCAGTCAACACTCTGGACGTTCCATGTTAGATTGTTCTCCGAGCTGGAAATAACTCTTCCCGATATGACACCAGTTCTAAGGATGTTGAAGACGTGTTTGGACACCTAACTGACGACTTCTTCATTTTCGGGGCTCACCGGATAGACCCAGTTTTGAGATTCCCACCAATCTTGTCTCGTTTTTGAGCAACAACTTACACGTATGAAAATTAAGGTGAAGTTAACGGGAATTCTGACTGAATCTCTCATTATTGATATTTTGTAACTGATTTTGTTGCACCAAGACCTCCTCACTTTTCAGTTCGAGGGATATTCAAGTTTTCGAAGTATTTTTCTTGATGTGGCTCCACTTGTGAAAGTCATTTGGCGCTCACCAGGAAGATAGCGTTCCGGAATAACTCCGCAGAGTGCATCCTTGAGATTGACAAGCAGGGAACGATGTAAAAATGCAAGCGACAAACCACTGACGAAAAAAGATATAAGCTAAAGGTGAACCGTTAACACTATCTGCAAAGCCAAGTGAACTTTAATCAACAGTGGTATGCGCGACTTCATCGATCGACAGCCAGCCGATCGATGGTCAACTTGCCATCAGTGTATAAATAGACTAGTCATGTTGGTTGTGAGGATTTATGGCCTGCTTTTTGTCATCTTTTTGTTTCCTATTGATTTATTTTACTTTCTAACCATAGTAGACGAAAGCTTCGCATTTTAACTCGGCTAGTTTGTCCACCGGATGTGAGTGAAATAGACCGTGAAATGAACTATTTTCTGGACTGCAACACTTTTTAGATAGATTACAGGAACAACGATATGGCTTGGCGGGGACAAGTTGACATGTTAAGACTTATAGGACGGGAAAATGCTGCCAGCGGCAAAGAGTTCTAAGATTCAAACGTCATGGAAAGAAAGATATGGTAGTGCGAAGGGAAGTTTCGAGGCGGGGAACAAACAAAAAGTCCAGAATTTTTCAGCGAAGTCTCAGGTAAATGAAAAGTGTATAGAACCGGAACTTTGCTTAAAAAAACAATTCCCTGTCCGGTAAAATCTTTGGGGATCTTCCGAAGTTTTCGTCTTACGCAGCAGTCTTGTTTTACTTTATTCAATCGTTTTTGAGACCATTGAATGGTTATTCTACAACTTTTAATTTCAGTGTTATTTTTACCTCCGACCAGTGCTAGATTTTCGTACGTTCCCCCTATTAATGGAAGGGTGTTTTGGAACGAGTTGGACTGGATCGTTTCTACTTTCCCTTCGTTTTTCTGCTTCTCGTCCACGAATGACATTGTGTTCACCTTTTCAAAGCCGCCATTCATTCGCGAACTGCCAGATATGTAGACGATGTTTTTTGCAAACGAATCTAGTCCGTATTCTGTGTCAATTTTAGACAGCATTGACAAGGCAGCCACGAGTGCCTGTTTACATTCGAGGTTGAAGAAAAAAGTGTGTTATCCCCTTGTAGATGTGCCAACCTGGAATGGCAAGTGCACACTTTTCTCTAGCTTCGTCTCCCTTGAACCGAAACCAAACTTGGTGGGCCGCGAATCTGAAGGGTCAACAAATTTTATTCAAAAGCGATTCTAGAAAAAAGGTGTGATTACTCAGAAACATGATTCGGGAAAACTGGTCTGTCGAAAGACGAAAGAACTGTGTCAGAAAGACCTGTTCGTGTGTCCTGACCTCCAAATTTTGTCCGGCTGATGAAGTTCACATAAAAAGACTCAGCTAGGAACTTTGGAAGGGCATTGTTCACATTCTGCTCCCACGTATCCTCTATAAGCCGTCCTACGGTGAGACAAGGTAGCCTTTCTGGTCAGACCAAATTATTGTTCGTGTATCAGTTTGCTTTTTCGTATGTGGCCAGCTATTGTGGTTGGACAACTGTCCAAACAAATGCCGGAACAGCTGGTAACAAGCTTCCGGAATTGACCACTACCAGTCCCGCGTTAGCATATTTACGTGATACGGGTCCCCCTAAAATGCTGCAACGGCTTTTATACAAAACAAACAAAAACTTACTCATATGGTTGCTGAAACCCCCTTGATAGCTCACGACCGGTTCGCCTCTCTTGGGGTTCACCAGGTAGGCACAGTCTTCGGGTTGAAACCATACTGATAGTCTGTCCTATTTAGCTTCAAATTGACAGTCAGAAATTTGAGTTACTATTAAAAAGAAGGTACATGTAGATTCAGAGGACTGGCACTGCTAGACCGAATTGGGTTTCGTCTTCTAGCCGCGAATTTTACAGAATATGCAGGCAATCTTTTGATGTGGTTCACCGTGTATCGTGCCTTCACTTGTTTGATCTGAGGCCCGGCATTGCGTGGGAAACTAGCTAGGGACGGAGGATATCGTGAACCGTTTGAACCGGGACTTTCTGGGGCGGACAAACCGAACACCACGTAGGTTTCTGCATACACCCGGAAACGTAGCAACTGTATTGCCTCGAGGCCGGTAGCAAGCTTCCGGAATTCACCACTACCAGTCCCGCGTTAGCATATTCACATGATACGGGTACCCCCAAAATGCTGCAACGGCTTTTATACAAAACACTCGAAAACTTACTCATAAGGTTGCTGAAACCCCCTTGATAGCCCACAACTGGTTCGCCCCTCTTGGAATTCACCAGGTAAGCACAGTCCCTGAGTTGAAACCGTATTGTAAATCTGTCCTATTTAGCTTCAAATTGACAGTCAGAAATTTGAGTTACTATTAAAAAGAAGGTACAGGTAGATTCAGAGGACTGGCGCTGCTAGACCGAATCGGATTTCGTCTTCAAGCCGCGAATTTTACAGAATATGCAGGCAATCTTTTGATGTGGTTCACCGTGTATCGTGCCTTCACTTGTTTGATCTGAGGCCCGGCATTGCGTGGGAAACTAGCTAGGGACGGAGGATATCGTGAACCGTTTGAACCGGGACTTTCTGGGGCGGACAAACCGAACACCACGTAGGTTTCTGCATACACCCGGAAACGTAGCAACTGTATTGCCTCGCAGGCATTACGGGTGTGTTTTACCTACAGATACTCGCTTGTTCCGCATGTGGATTTTGGTTGCAGTCAGGAATGACCCATGAGTAAAATTATGTCCGTCAAAAAGCAGGATGGATGGATCAGCGATGTATTGTTGTAGGTATTATTTCCGAATATCCATCCATTTCTGCGGTTCTCAGACATACTGACGATCCCCAGTTTGCTCAGAAAATAAACACACGAATGGAACAGTAGGCAATGAGTGACCAAGAGTAAACAGTCATTTAGAACACCCATGTCTCTCTCGATGTGTATTCCATGGTTGTGTCTTGTCTAAGTGCCGATCAGTCGTTGGTGGCCGGACATTTTGGCCTTCAAATGCTAACCGGGAAGTCCCAAGTTCGAACCCCCCTTAAGATTGGTGAGGTCTGCACTGCTAATAATTCCCAGTAGAAATAGAACAACTGTACAGTGATGCTTGGCACTTCGGCATAGAGTGGGTTCTATTGCGGGACAAAATGTGACCTGGAAGTTGTTTTGAAGGCAGAATTGAGACAAAACCGAACTTGGTCATCTGATAATGCCAGCAAGCGCAACAAAACAGGAGACGGCAGGTCTTTTTGCGCAGCTGTATTAAAAACTATTCCCGCTACCTACCCGCAGTGTTTGTTTTTTATCTGCCTGGACAAAACTTCCGTCGTGATCCAACTCGCTAGTAGAAAAAACAACCTCAAGTAATTTTTCCTTTCAAACTAAAGCGTACTACATGAAGACAGAATGAAATTCTTGGGGAATCTTGAGATTCGCTCACCTTTTCTATGTGACCTATGTCCACTCTGGATTGACCGCCTTTGACTGGTTTATTCAGTTGTCGCTGTAGGAGAATTTAACCATCAGTCTGTAAGTGGCTCATAGAAGAAACAATTTCACAAGTAGATTGACACTTCCGTCTAAGAAGTCATCACTTGAGGAGCCAGTCAATACTTGATCACGTGATGTAGCTTCTGTGATTGAAGAATGATTGGTCCTTTGTTCTGTCTGACTGAGTATTAATCACACTGCTGATCAGTGGCTCGTTGTCAAACGGTTAAATGTTCAACCACTGACCGGAAAGTAGCCGGTTCGCAACTCTTTGTGGTTTTTTGAGAAGGATGAAGCAGCTTCTAGGCTTTTTAACATAGCTTGGCCTCACCGACAGTAAGAATTCTCATTGGAAATTACAAAATCCACCCTACACACGATCTACCTAAAAAGTGTTAGAGAACAAATGGAAGAATAAAAGCTTTTGATCACGTTATATCTTATGCGGTTTTCTTTTGAACCCATAGGATGTATATACAATAAAGCGCCTATTAAGATTCCGGTCATTCTTCGGTGCAGTTTCACATATTAACTAAAAGGTTTTCGAAAGTGTTCGTGTCGAAATGGATCACTTTACACGTACTGTGGTTCCAGATTCTTCCGCCGAAGTAGCCGGTTCATTGGGGGGCTATATTGTCCGTATATTTTAGAACCCACGATTAATATTACATCGCTCGGTGCTGAAAAATACGCCATCCCGCTTCGGACATATCGGTGTTTCGGTGAACAGTCGGCGAATTTTTTGCCATGCAGCGCTTTGTTTTTGACGAAAACGTTTCACCAGGCCAACTGAATAAACTGCCAGGCTAGTTAAATTGTAAGGCGGACAGAGGACCAATGGACGAGGCTTTTTCGGACCGTCAACTTGATAGTAGTAAAAATCCTTATTACTTAGTGTTAGATTAGGGGAATTCTAATCACCTTGAACCGAATTTTTGGGTCTTGCTGTTCCCAGTTAGGACACTGGTGGACCGTATTCTTGCCTGATGAAGAGGCGTCGATTGCAATAACATTCCGTTACTGATACGATTCATAATAGAGACAGGGGAGTTTGGGGGCCTTGGAAATGAGTTGCTCTGACCAAGTTACGGGAGAAACCACCAGGTAGGTCGGTTAACCAGACGAGAGTTTTGGGAGGCCGTCTTTCATGAAATGTCCGAAATACCGTAAGAACAACAAGCTTTGATGAAATATTCTTCCTGAACGGCTGGCACGAACATAATCGCGTGGAAAGGAGGTAGTTCTTGCCAACACCTTAGTTCCATCGGAGCCGAACTTCTGAAATGGCAAATTCTGGATGAAATCGGAATGAGAGGAAACAAGATGCATAGAGTTATGCGATTCAAGGATGGCACGAGCGCCCTTTGGAGCGTCGAAAGAAACCTACGAGCAGCTCAAAATCTCTGAAGGCATCTATGCAGCGTGAAAGATATTACACACTGTCCAACATAAATTTGGACCAGCTTTTCTTAAGCTGAAAATGGGTCGCTCCAGTCTGCATTCAAAGATCGACTATTCAGCTATTTCTCAATATGTTCAAACCAAGGGGCTTCAGGTGAATTTCTCCGTCTGCTTTTCACTTAAGAGTTACTCAAGAGTACAACGTGGCCACGACCATACCATTATGAGAGAGAGAGAGATAGAGCGAAGGAAGTCAACAGTAATCCAACCAACCATAAAGCATTCACTCGTATTGGGGTGAGATGGACCAAGTGGTTAGAGCGCAAATTTACTGACTGGAAGGTCCGTGGTTCGAACCCGACACCTGCCCCTCGACTTCCTCTGTCTAGGCTTAGGCAACCTTGCAGTATCCCGGCTCTCGTGCCTCTGTCATTTGGCATGGCAGCTAGGCTCTGAAAGGGTGCTACAGCTGAACGATTGTGACCTTTTCACTCGTATCGGTGCAGCGGGCAAACTCATCGTACGCCTTCGATTTTCCTATCTCTCCTTATATGCTCTACTTGTAATTTTCACGGAGGAAACGTTTCGACGAGAGAAAAGAAAATTACCAAGCAATATGAACATTGGATTAGCCAAAAGGACAATGGAGCCCCCAGTAACGGGTGGTTTCAATCCTAGGACTTTCCATTTCCCTCCAAACCCTTTCACTCCCTGTCTATGGGGAAATACGTCCACCTGCGGGCAACACTGCTCTTTTTGCCACGGTATATCACGCGTCATCCCGTTTCATCCAGTCGCTCTTTTGTTGAAAGAGTCAATGAAGATAATATGTTAGAATATTGGTAAATTGGGTGCTTTCGTTGGTAGTTAACCAGATGGATATTGATCTGTGTCGAGGAGCGGACGTTTTGTCGCCAGTCTAGGAGAAATCACCAGTGCGTGGTTGGATGGGCAGTTCTTCTTTTTATGTACAGTTTTCAAAGAGCAGCATGAAGCCTCTACCAGATTAGCTGTTTATAATCACCCCATAGACAGTCTGGCTGGTTTGTTCGTGTTTTGTGCTGCGTCGTGATCTACATTTTTATTTGATTGGTTGACGGCATACTCCCAATTTTTGATAGCCAACTGTCTCTGCCGACTGGTTAATATGATAAATTTTGGGTAAGAGGTCACAGCATTCATATTTGCACACTGAGTTACTGATTCCAGACTCAGTTAATCAAAGCAATGTTCATTTCATGGAAGAATCCCGTTTCTTGTATAACGACCACACACAGTAAGAAACTTTATGACATTGATAGAGTGGTGCCTGCAAATTAAAAATACATTTTTTCATTGTTTAGCCACCAGAGTTTTGAAACTAGCGGTATGAATAGGATGCACGACTAAGGCTTCAACATTTTCATCCAACTTGAATCAAACCGCAACAAATGTGGATCTTAATGCAGTGTGCCGTGTTTACTCCTTCTCATTTAACAACTGGAATCCGAGAGTTTTCGCCAGCACTTGTTAAGTTTCACACTCTTTCCCTGGTGCTTTTGATACCAAGTGTAGTGTGGAGCAAAACTTGCCTACCGCAAGTAACCCTCTCGTTTACAATGAATTCTGATTACATACTCCAATGTGTTTGATCGATTTTCTGTTCTGACAGATTACTTCAGCAGAACGGGCTTCCATTTCAAAAGATGTTCTTCGCTTCCAGCACAGTGCAGATATAGACGGACGCTTTCCTTTCTTTTCAAACTATGTGCCAAAGCTGGACAACCAGGCCTCATCTGTATTCCGTCTTCATGTTGTCCTTGAACCTGGATCAGCCCATTTTGAGAGCACAGTCCATGTGAATATGACTTCAGGCTTGCCAGAACGACACCCCATTGAGATTAGTCGTCTGGATCCCTATGAATCAAAGGCTTGGTGTGCCCCAACCGATCATCTTCCGGAGTTCAGGCGGTTTTGTGTATGTGGAGCCCGTGATTGAGCAACACACTATTGGTACTGTATGGTTTTTTTAAAAAAAACATTGATCTTTTCCACACATTGGCCCAGCTTCGACCATGGGAGCACTTTGGTTGTTTTGCTACGACTGTTTTGGCGATAAATAAAGCACATTTTATCTGACAAATTACTAAAACTGATGATTGTGTGCGGAGATTTTCAATGGAGATTTCATCCTGTTTTTGAAGTCAATCTATGCCAAAATCACAAGAATCTCTGTGCAGCTGTTTCATTCTTGTTAAGAATTGTAAGCGGCGTGCATCTGACGAAACTCAGGGAGTTTCCAATCCGCGGCCCCCTCACCAGTAGTTGAACGCTTAACCGTTTGGCCACAAGCGGCTGGGCAGCAGTGTGATTAGGTCTCACTTAGACAAGACTTGGTGCCACTCATCCTTCAGTCACAGAAACCATATCACGTGATCAAATATTGACTGGCTGCTCGAGTGAAGACTCCTCAGTTTCACTATTACAGGCTAACTATAGATTGAAGGTGATCTGAGTAGTGTGAGAGCCAATCATCCTACTGATCAGTCAGTCGTGGCCAAACCGTTCAACACACTGGCCGGAATGTCTCGGGTTTGGAACTACCTGAATTCGATCTGTTGATAATTGCCAACAAGGTTCAAACAGCTGCACAATGGTTCTCGGCTTTTCAGTATAGAGTGGCTTTATTGAAATGATGAAATGAAATTGATGAAATATCGATTGAAAACTACCAAAAGGCACAAAGCTGCTAGCTGTAATTGCAGCCGCGGCTTTTTCCTGTGCAGAATTTGATTTTGTTACGTTTAACAGACCAACAAATTTGTACGTCTATCGGTTACCAGTTACCACGTAGATTTCACTAAGCAAAACACCAGTTTCGGAAGAGAGGGGCGGAATAGTTGGCAAGTCTTGTCCTGATTATTTGGTTTCCATCACTTCGATGCTATCGATCAATCCATCCTCAAGTAGACCTCTAAGTGTTCCTGCGAGCAGATGTTTGATTGGAGAATTGTATACTTTCAAGTTTAACGTTACATATCGTGTGTGATTCCACACGGAACGAAATCCCTTTCGAAGCACTCACTGTGGGGATGTTTTCCGGATAAGTCCGACAAAAAACGAACCCCGCCATTCCAAAAGATTAGAAAAAAAGAGGATATGAAATTTGTACTTTGAGTTTTTTATGGAGAGGGTGAAATTGGGACATGTTATTAATAATTTGAATGAAGAAGTCCCTTTTTCGGTACCTTTGACTCCAAACGAATTCACACAAGTAGCTGTCCAATAAAGATCGATGCATTCCGCATTGGCGTTTATTCTGCATCATGTAGACGTGCCAAAGAGATTCGATGGTTTGTGTGTGAGCTCCGGTCGTTGGATCCATAAAGTTTTCGGTATGATTAACCGTTTCATGAGTATAATTCATGTCAGTCATCTTTTGAATTCCTTCATATGATTCCCACGTATCGGAGATGATGATTGAGCCGGGAGTGACTCAGGCCTGGATTGTGTTCATCAAAGTGGCCGCAATTCGATCTGGCACTGCATACATGAACACCTCTTTGGTTTCCCGACAGATCCCTCCGAAAATCCACTGCTGCGGAAGGACTCGCCCTGCGTGGTATTTACGGCGAGATAGTAGCGTTCCATCGTTCTCGACTCGTAGACCTGGGCCGCCGATATCTGTTGGAGTCTGCAAAAGCCGCCGGGCGCAAACTTCGCACAGAAAGTTCTTCCAGTCAACAGCGGCTATGTGGCTAATAAATAATTCCTCTGAGCAAAATTCGATTTTTGCCAAATTTTCGGACCAGCAATAAATGAATAGAATTACTGTCCTATACTATATCCTAGACCGCTCCGGCCAAGTTCCCTTTCGACTACTGTCTCTTTGTCATGAACCAGAGTTGAAAGGGTCAAAAAGTTCATTTAAGGTTTTATGTCCGAACGGAGAAAATGTCTGCACAAAATGAGCGTAGATGCGGATAAGGAATTGTTTTCATCAAAAATATGTCAAGGTTGTGTACGTACACTGAAGTGGAAATGGCAAAAAGTGGCGGAGCTTATCTGGAAAAGATCCCACTGGGGTTTACAGCCAATACTTACAGAGTAGTGGGTCTACTTATTAATGAATAGCTCATTCTGGTCATGTCGTGTTCATCACAGCTTTTGAGGCATTTGGTTACAGTATTGGCCGTTATGTGGTGACCGAGTCGGAATGCACGACTGATCACAATACAACGGTTTCCTCTCAGTCTCGAAGTTGATATCATGACGGCGCAGCATTCCGTATTACAGCAACAACTGTTTGTTCGTCCGGATAATGTGTAGAGCCATCTCCATGTGTAGCATGACTTCCCATGTGGGTTCGGCCAGGTGATGCTGGCTCCTGGTAAACAAAGCCTAATCTCGGGCGACTGACTGCCTTGTTCTTTGTCCCAGGGACCTATGTAACCTAGTAATGGAATACACTGGTTCGCAGACCAGTTCGGCGTTAGTGGGAGACCAACTGAATCTCTCGTTTATTAATGTGCTCCTAACCAGATCCAAAATATCGCCTTGATTGTACACCTTATTCAGAACGCTGATGAAAAATCTTCAGTAGCCCACTACCGGTTCCGTCCTTCTTGGGGTTCTGTCAGCTAGACGAAGTCCCTTAGTTTTCGTCAACTTCATGTCATACTCAAACCCACATTGGACGCACTCCCAACTAGTATGCAATGTGAAGACAGTTTACTTCGACATTTCGATTAAAATGCCCTCAGTGCACCGCGTTCATCTAAATAACAACATGACCGAGGGATTCCATCGAGTCTCCCCTTAGCACCAAAGCAGTTTACAAATGGTTGTGTTTCTCAGATCCATTACAAGTTGGCGTTCACCTAAAACATACATCTGATGGAACCTCGTAGACGGCAGCCATCTGATCAACCCGAAGGCGAAGGGGCGTAGTAAGCAGTTGGCTGTCGAAGGGATTTCATAAACCTTGTCATTGATACCTTATGTCAAGACCAGTGTAGCCTGTCAAGTTTCCAAGGGAACAACAAACGGAAGAGCAGATCTTTAGGTGAGAAAAGGAAACTTGAAGCGAAGTTCAGTTTGATTCACCTCTGTGAGGAATTAGCCTTCAAATGGACATGTTTTCATTTTACTGGAATATTTACTTGTCGGCAGGGGAAGCTACTCATTTCATTCAGTCGGTTGATGGGGTTACAATGAACACTCTGGGGACGTGTATCACGTTGGAGCTGTCGTGAATAATTTGGGAGGTTTGTTTTCAACCATTTATCTATGCAGGTTAGAAGCAATAACGAAAATGCTTCTCCGGAACTTAAAGGAGGGTCAGTAAAGCATCTGTATCAACACTAATGTTGCTGTATTTGATGATGATGATGATGACAATGGTGATGATCGAGGATTCCGTGTCGTAAACCCCGAGAACAACCCGGTCGAGAAGAATGTCATTGATTCGCTTCGCAAAGCTGTTGAGTGATCCGTAAAAATTGGGGAGTTTTCGCCGTCTTGTTGCGGAAACTTGATACGAAGTGATGCAGACCTGCACAATTTGACTTCGGTGACGGAAGTTTGATTTCCCGGCTTTCAGTTGCAAGCTGGTGTAGACGTTTTTAAGCAATCGAGAAGGGAATGTCGATTTGGTGATCTCAAACTCGATTTTTTTCAACTCAGCTAAGTCGATTACACATTCTTCAAAGTCAGAGTGGCTTTCAATTGAGATTCAAGTCCATAACTTGCTTTACCGCGTAAAGTTGTCAGTCTAAAACCAGTAGACATTGTTGAACACACTCCACATGAAAACCCTGTTTTTCCCGTCATCATCATCATCCGAGTTGATTCTGACCACCCCATAAATCTAGTGCTAAAACCTCAAGTCAAGCGCTGATTGGGCGGAACTTATCAGTGTGTTCGTTAGAAATTACTGAGTTTAGCGAAGAGACCAGACTTACGCGCCTTTAAGACGCACTAGAGGATACCCATTCAATATCCACAGGTCAATAGCGTCGTCAATAGATGGCAAGTACAGTCTCCTGACCTTCCGGACTGGCACGTGGCAAGTCGTTCCCCAAAGTTGAACTTCTATAATGGTCTGAATACAATCACATTGTGGTCGAGCGGTTGAACCAACTTCTTTGGTCGAGAACCTTATTCATCCTGCTGCTTGGCCCTGACAATATCTCGGCCCACATACAGGCAGGACAGATGAGCACAAGCATGTGACTGGTTTACTATTGTGCCTTAACTCTCCTCCTGCCCCGTTAGGTAATCAGTCCTACGTGGACCCCAGCAGTAGACAGGTCAATCAGGCCCTTGAGAAATCGATACGTCGAATACCACTGCTGATATTTACCGCATCGCATAGACTATTCGGGATTAGTTCTCCAGTTTTCATTGTAACTTATAACACGCAAGTAACTACATATCTGTTGAGTGTGTGATACCCTCACTTTCCAAATGCTATCGACCACTCACTTCGCGTAAATCGTCAGTAGTTGCAATGGAGTGCTTCGGCGTTACTACGGAGTTCGGCTTGTGGGTCAAGGCTCCGTTATTCGAGGGGATATCTGCAAAAGGCCGACTCTGTTCTGTGTAAGCTTTTTGTCTGGCGTGTTCATTCATGTACCAGCTCAAATTAGCTCTGATACCCTGAAAGATGGTTTCTATCTCACCATCAGGAAATCAGCAAGACATAATAGTAGGAGGTTTTAGTGTAGATGTGAGATTTCCCAGTTTATTGGAGACAAGCCCTGATATGTTTAGTCTGGATTCAAACCGCAGTGACAGTGATGAACGTCTTTTGCAGCTGTGCACTGGTTGTCAGCTGTTTCTCAATAGCATTTGATTTAGCGCCATTGTACTTCCTAGCCTCCCGCTGCAAGTGCGTCATCGTCTACCGATAACGCGGTTCAGTCCTTAACTCTCCATCATTTTAGAATATGCCGGTCGATTCAGATCAAATCCTCCGATCGACACCGATTTCCATTCAATTTTCCAGGTATGCTTAAGAAGCGAGCTATCCATTTAGCAATAGAAGGGTTTTGCAAGCCAAAATCTATGGAAACATTCCAAAGCCTACTACGCAATGAATTGGAAGAGGACTTTGACCGCAAGTGAAATAAGCTAACCG